TTTCTATTTTTTAACTATTTTTGAAACCGTGAATATTATGAAAATAAATTTTGAAACCCTATATTTTTTGTAATTATTGAAATCTTAAAATGGAYATGTTCAACTAAATTAGTTTTTAGTTCTTTCCTTAGTTATTTGTTTAGGATTGTTGACATTTCTTCCAATTTCACGTTAAAATCTCATAATTTTCACAATACTTTTTCCTTTAGCTTGATCACATTTTTTTGTTAAATTATTGATATATTTTTTTTTGATAAAAGGTAAATTATTGATATTTTGTAGCCTTTTACTATTTCAAATTATAGAAATTATATACCTTCCACTTTGGATACATTTTATTCATTTTTTATCATATTGTCGAAACGTACTGGTTTTTTGGGATTTTGCTGGCTTACATCTTTGAGGTTTAGAAGTTTTTGACGAATTGTAAATTTATGCTTGTAAACATCTTTAGTCTTGTTTACGATAGAATATGGTCAAAATAGTTTAATGTCCACTTTAGCCATTTGTTTTTTTAAGAACGTCAAAGCACACTAGTTTACTTATAATTTGTAAGATAACACCTTTTATTTTGGAAAATTTGGAAGATTATCGTTAGAACCCTATTTTTACCATTTCAAATTGTTTGGATACATTTTATTCATTTTTTGTTATATTGTCGAAACTTACTAGCTTTTTGGAATTTGTTACTTAACACTTTTGAAGTCTATAAGTTTTTGACGAATTGTGCAATTTTAAAATTTAGATCTAGAAAGACTAGCTCCAAGACGATTTTAAAATGGAGAATTAGTTGGTTAACACCTATGTTTTATGAGTATCTAACTTTCTTTTTTTTATTAATTGTAGTTTTTTGGTAGTTAAATTCCTTAAAAGACAATTTACCACGGAAAATGGTTGAATCACTTTAACTGTCACTACACACATTTTTTTGGTAATAACATCATAACATACTAAATCTATAGAACATTGGTTACTCTATCAAAGTAACTCAGCAAAATTTGTCATGGGAGCTAATGTACATGTATTGGATTGTTTACATTCACTTGAGTGTAAATTACAGGGCCAAGTTAAGCCGAAAAACATAGCCTGCTTAGTCAATTCACATTGCTATCTAACTCCTGCAACTTTACAGCC